CCCTACAGAGGACCTTTCACTGCAAGGATCCATCTCTCCTTAGCTGGCTTCCTGTCCTTGGGTCTGTGGTAAGTCTGTGGTGACTTCCAGAAAAGGTTAGCTACAATTGTGAAATCTGAGCTTAAGCAGTGGTTTGGAGTCAAAGGCTTTTCTTTGTTAAAAGTTAGGAAGGTGGCAATGAAAGGAGACACTAGGTGAGAAAAGACTAAGATAAAAGAGTCTGGGAGGTCTGCAAAGTATTGTTGAGATAGATAGGTAAATGGATGGTTTTAAAAGAAGTCTGAAAGACAGACAAAGAAATGAATAGAAAAATAGGTAATGGAGAGGGAAGCATGAATAAGATGAAAACTGCAGTCCTAGACCTAGGAGAAGAGAGACAGGGAGGAAACAACCCTGAGAAAAAGTAAAGAGCAGACAGTGGAATATGGTGAGAACAAGTGAAGACACTATGGAAAATGGAGAATTGTAGGACAAGGGATGCTGCTCTTTAAAGAAGAAGGAAGGAGAGAAATACAAAAGAGAAAAATAAAAAGAACAGGGAAACTGTAGGCAGAGGCTGACAGAGAGAGAGAAAGTGGTTGGAAGAGAAATAAAATGTTAAGAGGGAGAGCATGAAGAAAGGTGTGAAATATTGAGACTAACAAAATACGTTTTATTTATTCATGTTCCTTCTGGATTATTTTTCCCTGGCAGCTTCTGAGGTGAGGGTCCGGTTGCCACGCACTCCCCTCCCTCCATGGAGAGCAGCCAAGCACTTCCCTTTGAGGATGGTGAATGTGCAAAACATTCTTGAGCACTTCAACTTTAAAGTGCTCTCCAAAGCCCCCTTCTGCCTTGGGCAGCTCCCCCCACAGCCTCCCTGGTGGAAAATTGGAAGCTTTGTTAAAACCCACATGTAGACTCCCATGAGTTCCTTTTGCAGGATTGTCCACTGTTAATGTTGAAATATGTATTTGGGGATAGAATAACTGGAATTAGGCTGACCTTCCTTGCAAAGAGATGTAGTCGGCTCCCTCCTCCCCATCTTTCCTTGTCATTGGTGTGCATGGTAAGTGCATGCTCCTTACAGACAGATGGGCTGTACTGTCTGCCTGTAGCAGTTTATTTAGCAACTTGTTTATGACACAGTCCAAATCCTATTGCAACCAATAGAAATTCTTCCACTAGTTTAAGTGGGAATTGGTGTGGCCCTGTGAGGGCCTGAGAGACCTTTGAGACTTACAGCCAGCCATACTGCTTGGACTCCTCTTAGGATTTGATTTGCTGAGCAATTTAATCAGTGTGAAAGCTGGGAAGTTTAGAAAGGCAAGATAAGGCCTTTAATCCTTTTATTTATTCCCCTGAGCAAAGGGATGCCTTTTTCCCAGCTGCTTTAAATCACCTCTTCCAACCCTAAAGAGATGTTTAAAAGAAAAGCCTTTCTCACAGGTAATTTTTATTTGTCCAGACAGTGACACAGTAAATTTTTCAAAAGCTTGCTAGTGATTTAAGGGTGTAAGTCCCATTTGACCTCAGAAGTGAGGCTTTGGCTCTTTTTTGCCCTTCAGCCTCATCTTCCTTGTCTTCAGCTAGATCTCTAAGCAAGTGCCCTCCTTTAAGGAAGGAGTGAATAAGATGTTTTAAACAACTCTTTTTAAATCAGAGGTATGTATAAGAGCTGTCATGGCACAGGACTGACATTAGACATGTGGAAGGTGTTTAAACCAGATGGGTTTCAAGGCCCAGCGGTCTAAACTAGGACATTCTGTACCTATTTTCCAGCAGCAATGTTAAATGTGATAAAAGTGGCATATTAGAAAACATATATCAAAAGTTAGTTGGAGTGTATGAGCTCTAGGAAAGTATTAATGAAATGGATCTATCAGCTTAATAAAAAGCTTATTCCCTCTTGGCCCATACACAGGTTGTTTGGAAAAACGTGTATTAACGAAGTGAGGCTGGGAAAGACGGAAAGAGTATTTTAGAGAACTGCCGCTGTAGGATGGATACGGCTCTGATGGGTTAGCGGTGCCTCTAATGGTAGGACTCCTATTACAGGTTATTCGCACTGGTACAGCAGCAATGTCTTTTTAGCTGGCGAGGTTTGAAATGCGGTCAGCATCATCTTGTTTTGACCAGGTCAGGAGGCAGAAAAACTATAGGGACATACAGCAGTAACTGCAGGCAACCAGACTCTGTACATAATGGCATCGGTCTGAATGCTCCTGTACTGCTGAATGTGATCCTGAAGGCATTCGCCCGCACAAATAGCCCTGTTGTCTTCAAGTAAGACATCAGTGAAATCCTTCAGGCTTCTTCCAGGGGTGAAGGGATTGTAGGATCAGGCCGTGAATGAAAGACTGCTGTGCAAGAATTGCCTCAGCCAGAATAGTCTCATCAGACAATTCTTACAGGGCCAGGATTTTCTGTAATGTACTTCCTTAACACAAGCAGTTTCATCTCCTATGCTGATATATGTGCCAGGTTCTCTCTCATTTTCAGAAGCCCAGATTAAAAAAAAAAAAAAAAAGATTTCATATTCAGGTAGGTAACTAGCCATACTGTCTATCCCAGGGAATCAATGGGATTTCCTAAAGAGCCTTGTTATCTAATACATTTTAAATCAGAAGCTGGTGGTGAATTTGCAGCGGTAGTGTTAATTATAAATGATGTCATATGCAGGAAGTGTCAGAATGAAGAACATTCTCTGCCATGCTAGTGCTGAGCACATAAACATCCCAGCAGGCTTGTTTTCCCATGCATGCTTCAGACTTTGACATTGAAATCCCAGCCCCTGGTCCCAATGCTGCTAACAGTGAACTGTGTGGGTAAAGTTACTCAGCTGAGTATGCTTGGTTGCAGCTACCCATACATGTAAGACCTGGCAAGATAAAACAGTAGTTTGCAAGTGTATAGGGCAAACAAATCAAGGGAAGCAAGTGC